GGGATGGGAAGGGAGACGGTTTTTTTTGGGGGGGGGGGAAGAGGGGGAGAAAGGGTTTTTGGGGGGGAAAGAAGAAAGGGGAAAGGCACAAAAGTTAAAGGGCTAAGAAAAGAAAAGGTTGGGCGTGGGGGGTTTTTTGAAGAGGGGAAGGGGAGGAAAGAGAGGGAAGAGGGGGAAGAAGATTGTGTGGGGAGAAGGTGGGGGGGGAGGGGAAGAGATGGGGAGCGGGGGAGAAGGTTTGGGAGAAGAGGGAGAGTTGGGGAGGAGAAGGGAAAGGGGTGGGGAGAGAGGGAAAGGGTGGGGGAGGAAGGAGGGGAAAGGGTTGGGGGTGGGGTGGAAAGGGAGGTAGAGAGGTGGGGTGGGGGTTTGAAAGAGGGAGGGGGAGGGGGAGAGGGGGAGAAGGGGAGAGGTTGGGGAGAGGGAGAAGGTTGGGGAAGAGGGGAAAGGAGTAAGGTTAGAGAGGTGGGTGGGGGTTGAGAGGGAAGGGGAGGAAGAGAGGGAGAGAGGGAGAGGTTTGGGGAGAGTTGGAGGGGAGAGAGAGGGAAGGGTGGGGTGGGGAGGAAGGGAAGGGAGATGGGGAGAGAGGAAAGGGGGGAGGAAGGGTAGGTGAGTGGGGGTTGAGAGGAGGGGGGGAAGAGAGGGAGAGGGAGAGGTTGGGGAGAGAGGGAGAGAGGAGGGAAGGAGGAGAGGTTGGGGGGTGAGAGGGAGGGGAAGAAGGGGAGGTGGGAGGGAGGATAGGTAGAGAGGGAGAGAAGAGAGAGAAGGTGGGAGATTGGGGAGAAGGAAGATGGAGGATAGGCAGAGAGGTGGAAGGGGAGAGATTGAGAAGAGAGGGAAGGGGATGGAAGGGTTAGAGTGGTGGAGTGGGGGTGAGAGGGAGAGAGGAAGAAGGGGAGGATGGGAGACGTGGAGTGGGGTTGATTTGGGAGAGGAAGAAGGGGAGAGGGGAGAGGGAGAGAGATTGGGAAGAGGGGGGAGGAAGGCTGGAGGATAGGTAGAGAGGTGGAGTGGGGTTGAGAGAGGGAAGGGAGAGGCTGGGAGAAGGAGAGAAGAAGGGGAGGGGGAGGAACAGGGAGAGGGAGAAAGAGGGAGGAGGAGGGAGAGAGGGAGAGGGATAGAGATAGAGATCGAAGATATTGTGAATGAATGAATGAGTAAAAGAGAGTCCTAAGAGAAAGGGGGGAGGGGAGAGATGTAAGAAAGAGAGAGAGAGAAAGAAAGAAAAGAAGAGATAGAGAACGCCGAGGGAAAGAAAATGAGAGAGAGAGAGAGAGAGAGGCGGAGGGTGTGAAAAAAAAAATCATAAATAAGCAAAATTGTGTAGTTAAGTTTTACACAAATACACGACTTCCGTTATATTAATACATTTGAATATTCGCCTCCCACGCAAGGAGTGTGAATGTATCTGCAAGTGCTAATCTGTCTGTCTGTCTAGCCACCTGTCTATCTATCGATTTGTCTGTCTGTACGTACCCTACACATGTACGCACACTCACACTCAATCACATACACACACCACTTCATTCATTCTCACATTCAACTCATTCACATTCACTTTCACTCACTCACTCACTCACTCACTCACTCACTCACTCACTCCTCACACACACACACACACACAGCACACACGCACAACACAGCCAGCACACACACACACACACACACACACACACACACACACACCACACACACACATAACACACACAAACACACACACACAAACACATACATCCACATGGCACATATCCACACACACACACACACAACATCACAACACACACACACACACACACACACACATAGTCACACACACACACATCCACACACATACATCCAATCCACATATCCAAACACACACACACACATACACACGCCACACACACACGCACACACACCACAGTCACACACACACACACACACATACATCCACATCACACCACACAGCATA